CGTCCATGTCTGGTAAAGATTGGTGGCAACTGCCACGAAGCATTTATGCTGGTAGAAGAGCTCGCACTCAACTTGATGGCAGTGGGAGGTTGTGATGGAACTGAAATAAACAGCAGCAGTAGTGTGTTTTAATTCTTAGTTTCGTATGATGCACGATCCTCGCAGTACAGAGCGCTATTTAACCGCTATTAACTAACCGCCGCCTGGTTAGCTCAATTGGGAGAGCGCCGGACTGCTGTGCGGGAGGTCGAGAGTTCAATACCGGCCGGACCAACACTCAGGGTCTTAAAATTAATTGAGAAGAATATGCTTCCTTTCTTTAACATCAAGAAATGGTTAGATATTCTAGTCTTCTCGGATAGGGACGAATAAATGGAGGTCCCGTCTCCTGCAGGGTTGGGGTAGGAGACGTTAATTTCCCACGCACGAGATTACTGTGTGATGGATGTCCTCCCTGAGGTGGATTGGGTGGGTAGGTGAAATCGCTACGGACTAAACACGGCTGCCAGAGACGCCTGTCTGATTTCAACCTTAAAATTGTAACTAAAACACGTATGTTGTTTAGAGAAATAGAGACCTTGACCTTAACTATACGACGCACAAACGGATATCCGGAATCGCTCGACTGCGGCAAAAGCTTAATGAGCTTTTCGGTTATGGCAACCGGACAAGTAGTCTTCGCTGATCGAACAAGATATGAAGTATGACCTTCTTGGTATTGGTCATTCTTGCGTTTAGCAACATAAATTGTCATGTGATCACCCTTGACAGTAATGTCCTTAATACTTAAGCTGTTTATTTTGTCAACACGAAAAAATCCGTAAAATCCAACCAGCAAATAGATAAAAAGCGGACGTCTGAGAGAGAATTATTCGTAACATAAACATCGGTGATTTCTTGTACTGTATCGGCGGACAAATGCTCCTTGGGCTGCACTGGATGAGCTAGCTTTCTTTTTCTAATACCACAGAGGGCAGCTTCAATGGGAGGCACACCCATATTGTTTTCCGAACAAATTTCGTAAGCTCAGTGATAAACAAGGCCATGTGCAAGGGCTTGGCCGGAAGTACAGGATTACCAATCTACGAAGAAACCCACTCCCGCCACCTAAACCAGCCAGACTTGTACTTGAACAGAGTGGAAGGAGCCTTTGATCCTAGCTGCAAATGCAGGAGGCATGGAACCAAACCACGAAGTGACTGCTCCACCTCAGATGCTTCATGCGAGATCCTGGAAAGAAGAACATCTGAAACAAAAACAAGGGAACGTCTCAAAACCATTTAATTTGAACAGGTCATTTGATAATACCACTAATTTATAATAAACGATACATGTAGCAGAACAAACATTTAAGGAATAAAAACACACTAATCAAAAGAAAATCATGCCGCGATAAAATGCAACGAAGGGAAAACATCCACTGACTGACAACGTTCAAAAGACACGCCAGCCAAGCTAACAAAGTCGCCAACACCACGCCAGCTCAAACTTCATAGGGCCAAATCAGACCACAAATACGAGCCATACTACGCCAAAAACATGGGCCAAGCTAGGGCCGACAAGGACCAAAATCACTAGCCAAATCAGGCCAAGGCCACGGGCCCAGTCAGGCCAAACTCATGGGCCAAATCAGGCCAAAAACACGGGCCAAATAAGGCCAAAAACATGAGCCAAATAAGGCCAAAAACACGGGCCAAATCAGGCCAACAACACACGCCACATCAGGCCAAAAATATGGGCCAAATCAGGGCAAAAACACGGACCAACAGATTTATGAATTTGCTTCTGTCCCGGCCTTTCTACCAAAGGGTTGCTTACCGCTGGAAGGGCCCGGTAAAAACTTCTACCTCGAATGGCTTAAACTTACATTCCTGGCGTATAAAAGGCCAAAATTACGACGAGTACCATTCTGGAATGATCAAGGTTCAGCGACCGGCACATGATGTCAGATGACGGACGGAATCGACTACGAGGCTGAATAGGGGAAATATCCAGTTGTTCTCGCTGCTCCAGTCTTACACCAAGGCGTCCACCCCACTATAGAGCCAGGAGAAGCGAACTTCGAGTTAAATCGCGGGAGCTGAGTATAGTAATAAGTTGCAAAGCGGTCGATTGTGTGGGGACCCCTACTTAGCATCCACTAAACGGAAAACAGATGGATTCAGAGATCAATCATCTTTATCGACAAACCTTCTGAGCAGATCAACTCTCTCATTCAGTGACCTGGGGATCCACTGCGACTCAAGTGATACATCCCGTGCAAAAAAAATTGAAATATACTATTAAATGCAACCGAATGATGATGCGCTTTAGAACTACCTATGGACATTATTCTGACAGCGCTCTGACTATCGGTGAAAACTTTTACCCTCTTGTGCGTAAGATGGTCCGCAAAGGACAGTAACACATAGTAGATAGCTTTCAGCTCAGGGAAAGTAGAGCTTCGACCGAGGTCATCAGACGTGAACATACCGGTGGCCGTTCAACCGTTCAATGTCACTGGAAACCTGCCAAAGACGACATCGCTCGCAACAGAGATGACAGTACACGTATCAGGCGGAGGTCGAAGAGAGGAATCATTAAATGAATCGATGTTCGAACACCAGAATTTTAACTCTTCCAAAAGCGCTGCAGGGAAACAGAAGGTGTGACCCCATCCTGATCTAGACTCGATCGCCAGGTACATTTGCTTGGTGAAAAAACGTGAAATAAGACCCACTGCTATGGAAACCGAAATTATGGAGTCCGCTATTCTAGCTAATTTGCGATACTAAGATGACTCGTCCATGATTGCAGTACCCAAAAGGTTTTTAAGCTTGAGCACCTTCTTTTCTGAAATTTGAAAAGTCATTTTAATGGTATTGATTACAAAACACAGCCAGTCGCTTATCTGCATAGGTTGCCAATTACAATGAGGTTTTTCTTTGTTAACAAGAACACCTGTGGAATCTAGCAGGCTACTGTTAATGGGTTCACACAGAATCGAGGAACATTGTGTTCAACGATACAAACATTAGCTAAGGGCTCATCTTTTGCCAGGGTAACGAATTCTAAATGTCAAAAGGCTGATTTGTTATTAGGCAAAAAACACGGGGTCGATACTCCGCAAAAGGAAGCCTAACCCCATGCCCAATAACGTCTAAAACAAATTTTGGATCACCTAAAGTGGACTTTCAAAAACCTATGGCAGAATTAAAACAGCCTTTAACACCACCGTTGTTGTTCCGAGTGTTGAACTCGTCAAAATCACCAAAAAACAAACAAGAAAAGCCAAAATCAAACGGCAACTGATGATCACCATCAGACAGTGTTGTTTCACATTATATTTTTAAATGATGAACAAGGACTTTCTAAATTTCAACGCATGTGAAACTTTCAGGTGAAGGTTCACATACAAAGTTTCACTTAATAAGTTTTTTCACACGACTTTTAGTATATTTAGTAAATATTTAGTATATTTTTAATAGCTATTATTGAGATGTAATGCACACTTGATCATTTCATGGAAAGCGCGCAATATAAGAATTAAATTATTATTATTATTATTATTATTATTATTATTATTATTATTATTATCACGTCTTAAATTTTGAGATGTGTTCCACGAGCAGGCCAGATGGGATTCCACTAATACTACCTGGAATCCCGGGTGGGAGGTGGGATCCCTGTCAGGATGACCTAAGTCTCCAATGAATCCCCCTTATCCTTCTTAGAATCCTGGGTGGGAGGTGGTATCCCAGGCAGAATAACTATGAGTCCCAGGTGGGACAGATGGGATCTGGCTTATCCCACCTACAATCCCGAGTGGGAGGCAGGATCCCAGCCAGGATTACCTGTTAGTCCCAGGCAGGGAAGGTGGGATTCCACCTATATTGGGGGGATCCAGCCCTTCCCACCTAGGATTCCAGGTGGGATTGGTGGGATCCCACCTAAATCCTAGCTTCCTTTGTACCTGGGTTAGATTTACAGTACTTCCCTACTATTTAGGTTGTTTTACACAGCTCCAAACATATTAGCAAGTCTGCGGATTATGACTTTTTGCATCCTTGGTTAGGCACAGGTCAGTTTAACAGATTACATTGTAGCATTGTACTTCACTGCATTGCTGGTCAGTTTGGTCACAATTTACCTCTAAGGCTCTAAAGTATATGTATTTGTGAGTTGCGCTAGTTCTTTAAACATGGACTTCATGAAAAAATTGAGAAGGATGTGGAAATTGTAGGTGAACAAAAGGGATTACATTTTTTATACATACTTTTCTGATACTTTTCACATGCCTACTTGTCCATTAAGGTCATGTGACATTCTTTAGCCTCTTTCTAATTTTTGTACTTTATTCTCTGAGGAAATCTATTTTTAAAATAAACAAGGAGTGTGGTGACCCTTGCCATTGTCTGAGCAACTGTTTTTCAGTGTTATCTTATTTAATTTTTCTTTTTTTTTTTTAATAATTATTATAAACCTTGCAATTTATTATGGATCATGGATGTCCTAATTACCAAGGCCTGCTTACCAGGTAGGGTTCATGTACTCTAGAAATGATACATTTTACACAAATGCTTATGCATTTTTTCTGGGCTCTGTAAAGTGATAAGGGTACATGGGATGTTGGAAGGACACAAGGTAATGTTACAAATTAAATTGTGTGAGGAAGGCACATGATTTACAAGTTTTCCACATGTTCTACTAACATCCCAAGAAGCTTTATCACATTCCAGAGCCTGGAAGAAATGCCATCTATTGCTTTCACGACATAACTATTTGCATGTGGGCTCTATAACCTGATAAAGTATCCACTTGGAAAGTGAATTGACCTATCAGATGATGCATACTATGTTCCTCTATGTTGTAATACGAAATAGTAGAAGAGTCAAGATAACAGTCCTGTTCAGAAACCTGGGCTGAGCTATTACTAAGCTACCTCATCATGATGTTAAAACTTACATGACTGTACACTGCACATGTGGAGGGCAAGATGACAAATTTTGATTTTACATGTAAGCTTTAAAGACTGTTTTCCTCTTTGCCAAAAATTTTCTCTAGGCCTCAAGACATGTTTTCTATTTAAAAATAAAACAAAAAGAACAAAAAATTTAGTTTTAATTCAACCCTGTCCTATGGCTTGCTTCCTTTTGAACATTGAAAGGATAAGCCCCCCTCTTCGAATTTCATTAGCTTTCTTTCATCTTCAAAAAGAAGAAGAGAAAAATATGTGTGATTTAAAATCCTTTCATTGAAGAAATGAATTGTCTTACATGTGCTTGAACTTGTTATCATTCTTTAGTGATGGACTAAAATGGAAGACAAGGCGGAGATTGATTACTCCAACTTTTCACTTCAGCATTTTGAATACCTTCTTACAAGTTTTTGAAGAACAATCCAAAATTCTGGTCTCAAACCTTGAGGTAAAAAGTTTTAAAAAATCCAAATTACAATGCGTTAACTTTCATGGTTTACATGCTATAATATATTATTATTTTATTGCTTTGGTTTGTTTTTTGCCTTTCCTACCAAATCTGTTTGGAAATGCAGACTACGTCAATGCAGATATATCATTTAATGTAATAATTACTCTCTAACTCCCATGATCCAATTGTTGATTCTACCATTTTAAGTGTCACACATTCCTTGTAGATCACAGGTAGTTACTAGAATTTGGTGTCATAGCAAGATAACAACTTCAACCTGATAAGTTTTAGTAATGTGAGTACCTGTTTGCTGGACAACATATGATTATTATAAGGAGAAGTTACATCTCAATCACTTCTGGGAGTTAAAATGATAATGACACATAATTAAATACATCTTCTCAGTGATTGAATAAGATTTGTTGTCTCCTTCTTGTCAACTTGTGTAGAAAAAAGTCAAGACAGGTACTTTCAACATAATGCCACACATTACTCTGTGTGCTCTGAATATCATGTGCAGTAAGTACTTTGTGCTATTCAGTGACAGACTTGTAATGTTCGTGTTTGTTATTGTTCAGTATATCCCCTCCTTTCCCCTGGATGTCTGCCTCTGATAGTGCATCTGGGTATCACCCCTAGCCCTATTATTTTGTACTGAAGGATACCTGTCATTGTTATTCTACATTTGTATAAAGTGGAAGTACATTCTCATTAGAGCACTTTTTTATTTAGTGTCGTAAAAGCAAAACAACTTTTCATATAATCGCAATGGTCAATTAAGTACAAGAAAATACAGTTGACCAAATAATGATTGGTTTAAGTTTTGTCTGTGTTTGGTTGAGAGACTAGCAGATGCATTTTTCCTCAGGAGCAAAGTGAAGCAAAACCAATGCAATCCTCAATTTCTTTAAAAAAATCAATTGAGAACTGCTCTAAAAACAAAGATTAAATCAATTCTCTGTCCCAACTCATAGAGGTGATGCACCAGGCCTTTGTTGAATTATAAAGCTTAACCCTTTCCACTCTAACATCAGTATGCATATTCACCATACAGTTCTTCATACACCTCCGATACCACTGACAAGGAAAAATTTGTTGACAATTAGAACTCTCTCTGATTTCCTTTATTTCCATGGCCTTAAAGTTTTATTCAGCAGTGATGTAATGTTACATGAAACTAAATGCTTTTCACCTTTAAGGGTTAAAGGGCAAGGGGAACTAGACTCAGGCTATCATGTAGTACAGTTCATGTGTCACCACAATGCATAACACATACCCTTGGTGACCCTTAATTTGTCCATTGCTTTTGACCAGTCCCTGATTGTAGGCAGTCAGTTTCTCAATCATGATTTTAAATCATTACTCACTTCACTTTTGATAGTTACCTCAATGGAATCGTCACCAAATGCACAGGGAGATGTTAATTCTCCATATGTCGGTGCAGTTGGAAGGTAACTCTTTCTAACTAAAATGAAGGTGAATTTAGTCCAGTGGGTTTTAATTGTCAAGTGGAATTATAAAGGAATATTGTTACCCTCTAATACCTTAATTATTTTAAATGCAAAGTTTTCATGTGAAAATTTCCCCTTGAAATGCTGGTTCCACCACAAATGTCCTTCTCAAACTGTCTAATAGCCAAACTTTTCCTTTGAGAAAGTTTTATCACAGTAGATTCCATGTTCAAACCCCGGCATTTCAAAGGAGGATAGTCATTTTTTTTTTCATCAGATGCCTTGATATGGCCAAACTTGTAAAGGATTTCTTTCCCCTGTAAATGCTCCTTCAGTTTGCCTTTCCTTTTCAGTGACCTGAGATCATTGCTTGTCATTTTTTTTTACCTATATGTTAGATTGAAGAGGGGGAGATCTAATTTCTTAGCCTCTATTGTAGATAAAAAGAAGGCTAACATTCATGTTAAACCAATGAATTGATTCTAGGATAACTGAGTTGATTCAGAAGCGACAAAGGTCACCATGGCTCTGGCCTGACATTGTTTACTTTTTGACGCCATCAGGGAGGGAACACAATCATTGTCTTCAGATTCTTCATGGTTTTACCAACAAGGTGTGTGTTAAAAAGCGTAAAACTTTTATTCTGAGCTAAAAGTTTTTTTTAATTATCTTAAAATGGTTGTATTTTTCAAGACGGACATATTCCTCTAGCAACCACTTATCTGATTCGTAAGGGAAATAAAACAAAAAAATAATAAAATGAACAAGTAAACAAAACAAAACATATCCAATGTGCAGTTAAAGACAAAGTCAAACAATTGAAAGAAGACAAACAAATTGTATGATTGGGCTTTGAATATTCTTGTACCAAAAAGCCAGTCGGCCTAACTTCTTATTAAGTGTCCCTGTCTGAGAAAGTGTTCCGGAGGCCACAAGTCGTGGTCAACTGATTCGGCTGAAACACGGCACAAAGGTTGGGGGATAAGATATTTCAAAAGCCACTTTAGCTCATTTCTGTGACTGTTTGTTCTGGAATTTCCGGCGGGGTCCCATTTGTGGTATGTAGAGCACCATGATCCAGCCTTTCAGGTGGCATTTCAAAAGTGCTATATATTAGTTATGCTCATGATGTTCTATTTAAGTGTATTTTACTAGCCAGTGTAGGATTGCACATGCGAATTTTTGTGTTAGCTTATCATTTTATGCATGCCTCTTACAACCATTTAAACACTTCGGTTTGTTAGCGTGCAAATTTTTCAACGTATTCTCTTACCGGAAGTTTTCGTTGCCAATCTTAGACTCTTAACTTAAGCTTCGGTGCCATCGCTACACTCAGGAAAACATTTGTAAGTCTTTAAATTCTGTCTTGAATGTTTATCATCCCTCGGCCCTTTATCTCATGTATTTTTCTTCATTTTCCTAGTCAAACCTCACTCGCTCACTCGCTTGATCACTTGCTCGATCACCAAACCTCAATCGGCTCCTCAAGTCTCTTCAACCGAGCGCGAGTTCAAAATTTTCTAGACGTAGCATTGACAAGAACTGTAGGCTACAGTCTGTCACTGCTAGTATAGTTTTTTTTGCTGTCTTAGGAGGATACTTATTAAAGACAAAGATTAAAGATATTGACAGGTTTTTGGGTAACAAAATGTGGAATGATGTGATGTTTTGGTTTTCACAGATGATTTTCTACAATGCTTATATTCCATTGTTTATAGGACTAGAGCCTAGTAGTTTAATGTCACAACTGAAATGTGATTATTATTATTATTATGTTTTCCAAGTAATGTCCAAAATTATTCAGACCTTAACATTTCTTGACTTCCTGTAAGCTTGGCAGTCTTCTAAATTCTCTTCAGAATGGTTCAGATTAGGATTGATATTTAAACTTGGTAACAAAGTCATGTGTATCAAGCCTTTATTTGGTAGGCTACAACATCTTTTCAGTTAATTGTTTGGTTTTGGTTAATTCATCACAATACTGATATACATGAAAAATTACCCTCTTGATTGGCTGAAAACAGGTAGTTGTCTTTTCAATGTATCACTAGAGCAAAAGTAATTACTCAAGTACAAATGTAAACCAACTGGTAGGCTCAGCAAAAATAGATCACTCTAGAAACCCGAATCAGATTGACAAGAAGTAGGTTGTGCTGATTGATATACATGGTAGCTGACCGAAATAAACAAAAGCTTGCATTTTTTAGGTATATTAATAGAAACTGACAAAAGTGCATTCCTGAGTAAGATTTCAGCTGAACTGAGGACAAATTTTGATAGCATGTCAAGTTGACCATTTACATGATGATGTCAAGTTCACCTTTTTATTTCATGTCTCCACATAGCTTGAATTTGGGAAACACACTGGCATGAAATAACAATATCAATAATAAGAAAACTTGAATGATTCTGCTACTTTAAATCATATGATACCATCGTGCACTTGCCTGTACATTGAACTCTGTTGGGGTTTTAAAAGTTATGTCTCTGATTACTGTTCCTGAAGTTCTAATATGGTGACACTTATCTCTGTTGAACTTTCTGTTAAATAAAACTTCCAGGTCAAATTGTGAATCTTTTTGGGTTAAAAAGTATTAGCAGTTTTAATGTAATGTTACTTCAGAGTACTACCCAACATATGATTCATTAAAGTATTGCTTGTGTTCTGATCTTGTTACGCATCTATCTTTTTCCCCTAGATTCTTCTATTTGCAACCCCATATCCACCTACCTCAACCAAATTTTCCTGTGTTCTTTATTGAAAATACAGTCCCACAAAACCCAAATACAATTATTAGAGTAAACATTTTGCTCCCAACCAACTGAAAATAGAATTTTGTGCCCTAATGGATAATAGAAACCTACACTCAGCATTGTGTTACTTTACATGTAGACATTGTCGAAAATTAGTCATACTTCAAACCAAATCAAGCTCCCAATAGCTTCTAGTGTAGATCTCATCATTTCCCGAATGTTTTGGCCCTTCTGGCAAGTTTTGTCCTCGTGTACTGGTACACAAAATGCCAAAAATATTCGTATGAAATGCTTCCCTAGAGTTCATTTCACATCACTTGCCTTGGAAAAGACAATCAACCTACAATCTTCAGACTTCAGTTACACTTCGTTACGTAAACAAAAACATGACTGAATCTATTAGGCCGCCATGGGAGATGATGCTGGTTTTTTTTTTTTTGGTTCCTAAAATCTTCAAGTTACATGAGCAACCTTTGTTGTCAAAATGAGGCCTCCATAACAAAGTTTGGCCATTAACCCTCATCTTCAAAATGAACATTTCAGGACTCTTCTATACCAGTTATCTTATTTTATGATAAAAAGGAACAATATTGAAACTATCTGACTGTAATCAGATATTAGCTCTTCTAACAGAAACTCAGTAAGACATCAGACACTAGAAAGCAGCTCAATTTCGCAAGCCACACATGTACGCATTGCGGAGCTCTTTTTTTAAGATGCTTGAATTTCCTCTGATTTATATTTTTCAGGTCATATTTCCATACATACTATGCTCACGAGCATGCAAAGTCTATTATTTTGTCGGGCCCATTTTTTGATGCAATATGAATTGAGCTTAAGGAAAACGACCGTTAACAGAAGATCCATGGCTAAACTTTTGATAACCTTGCTAGCTCTTGTAAATACGCATGATGGCATCAGTAAAAGAGCACAAATTGTACTATTCAGTATATGATACATACAAGTTAATTGTAGTGACTAGCGTCCAGCTGACTTGTGATCCATCCGATTTCCCTGGTACGTTAGAACTGAATAAATCAAATCATTCGGCAGTAAATAAGAAATCTATAGTTAGGAGAGCTGGATAAAAATATTTTATGTTGCAGTTGGACGTGAGAGTGAGGGGACTGGACCAAGTCGAGGAGTCACGCAACATTCACTGAGTTTTGAGTAACGCGCGTTTGTTGACCATCACTCGCGGCAATCACAGGAATTTGCTAACTGTAGAGGAGGTTCATGGTACGACGCCTTACGATTGGCACTACCTATAATTTCAGCGTCAAAAAACTCGCACATTTACTTTAGTTGACTGAGTTTTTGCTTTTGCAACACCTTAAGGTGGCTCGTACCAGTTTCCTCGCGCGGGGAACAGGTCGCACTTGCGTGACGCGCGCGAGAGAAACGTGCGAAAGAAGCGCGAGATCAAAAGATGAAAATTCAAAACAAAGATGGCGGCGCGTGGAATTTTTTTCTGTACGAGGCCGCAAATGATCCCAGGACCGCAAATGATCCCGGACCGCAAATGATCCCCAAATTGGACCGCAAATGATCCCGGACCGCAAGTGATCCCTATATTGGACCGCAAAGAACTGAATAAATCAAATCATTCGGCAGTAAATAAGAAATCTATAGTTAGGAGAGCTGGATAAAAATATTTTATGTTGCAGTTGGACGTGAGAGTGAGGGGACTGGACCAAGTCGAGGAGTCACGCAACATTCACTGAGTTTTGAGTAACGCGCGTTTGTTGACCATCACTCGCGGCAATCACAGGAATTTGCTAACTGTAGAGGAGGTTCATGGTACGACGCCTTACGATTGGCACTACCTATAATTTCAGCGTCAAAAAACTCGCACATTTACTTTAGTTGACTGAGTTTTTGCTTTTGCAACACCTTAAGGTGGCTCGTACCAGTTTCCTCGCGCGGGGAACAGGTCGCACTTGCGTGACGCGCGCGAGAGAAACGTGCGAAAGAAGCGCGAGATCAAAAGATGAAAATTCAAAACAAAGATGGCGGCGCGTGGAATTTTTTCTACTTTTGTGAGAAGTTTACCTAAGAGCTTGTATTTGATGTGTTGAGCGGCCACTGTGAATGCAGGAGATAGAAACTAAGATAACGAAGACGATTTTCGGAGAAGTAAAGGTTGCTTCACTTCACATTTAAAAGAAATATTCAACCGATATGAAATCTTGCGACGGCGAAAAAAGAAGAACTCAAGTGAAGGATAATCTACCTGAAGTGGAAGAAGACTTTGAAACTTCAAGGAAAATAATATGATATAGCCAGAAGTCATGTGTAGGATTTTTAAGATGAGCTCGGGAGGCTGTCTTTGACGGCTGTTTAATGATTTTCTTAGCAGTAAACGTCTGTAAACATCAGATCGTAGGTGCTCGCGCGAGCACACGCAATTGTCAGCGGTAGCTAAAACAGATCATGAGCAAATGTCGATCTTATAGAATCCAGATTTTTAAATGCGCGAGAACGCGCGTGGAAATTGCTAAACTCACGAAAGCTATTGCATGAAAACAAGTCCGGTGACCCCTTCTTTTTATTGTTCCAATATGATAATAACGTCGAAAGGAATCATCAGAAAAAAAAATAGAAAATTCTACAGAAGGAAATTTACGATGTCTAAAAATTGCCTTTTTTCTAGATTTTCTGAAATTCCGCTCCGTATAATTTTTTAAAAATCTTTGTGCATTTTCCTTTTTAAGTGCCAAAAGCAATCACTGAAAAAAATCATGGGGTCACCTGGTTAGTTTTCGAATTATTTAAGTCACAAGCTAAAAAATGCGTCTGAATAAGCCTATGAAAGCGTTTCCATGGAAACTGCTAGTGACGAAATGACACCTATTTTTGGATAACCAATGATTATATAATTCAACCCCGTAAAAGTGTTCAACTGGCCTTAGTCAGTCTTTTTGTTGTATTCTTTCAAAGTTACAAACCATCAAAAAGACGAAAACCGGTACGAGCCACCTTAAGAGAGTTCGCAAAGTTGAAATCTTCATACAAAAGAGAATTGGAAAACAACCAAACTGTTTTTGAGACAAGTGTCCTGAACCCTTTTCAAAGGAAAAAAATTGAGAAAAATTTTTTTTGGATTGGAAGTTGAGAGGACCGCTCTCAACGAGTGGCACTTAAAAAGCCATTTGCTACATTCATGCACAAGTATGAGACCTTTCTGGTGTTTTGAATAACCTGTACTTGTAGCTTTGGTATCACCCGGTCTTCCTCTCGCCCCGGACGTACCTGATCCCTTAACTTGTACTTGTGTTTTAACCAAGCAGTCATGTCATTATCGCAAGACAATAAAGGAGTCATTCCTGTTTCGTGCAGCCGCCCATGACGCGGCACCGCACTGATCATTTACCCCTTCGAGGGAACAAAGCGTCATCGTAAAATTGTCCTGAAACTTCTTATCGCTACACGTTTCAGTATTACTTGAATAGGGGGAGGAATGGAAACTCGGTCCAGTCTTAATGTTCTCACCTCCAAAATGGCGGGTCTAGAACTCACTCTCGTGTGAAA